GTTTTACATTCCAAAAAAAAAATTGATCTAACATGCATTAATCGCACATGAAATAAACTAGAAATTTTCTAAAAAAAATGTAAAATCTAATGGTGCTTCACTATTCATATTATATTATATAAATAGTGAAACTCTTGAATTTGTTTTAAATAATTGTTTTTTCTATTAATTAAATCCTTTTATAGCATAATTAGATGAAATTAGGTTTGAAATTATAGCAAACAAAAAAAATAAAATTAAAAGACCAATGATTGAATTATAAAACATATGGAAAAAACATGGCTAATTCTACATAAACAAAAGAGAGTTTATCTTGGCCTAAAAATTTATTTTATTTATTTTCTAGTCTATGAATTTTGAGAGGTAGAGAAAGTTGTTGATTTTCATGATTCTAACAACCAAAAAGACTAAGTTTTATGTTAAATAATTCCTTTTGAAGAAAGAAGTTCAATGGTGTTGGTTTGTTTTTGTCTTTTTATTGTCGAAAAAGTAGATTGGGTTTTTTGAATTGAAACACTAGTTTACTAAGGTTTCTAAGATGTTTCTTATATATTTTTATATCATAATAAATTAAAAAATAGAATTTTAAACTAAAAAACACCATAACACCATTTTGCATCTACTTTTAGATTGTTGCAATGTAAGTTAGCAGATACCATGTATACCATGTTGTCTGCAATTATTTGTTTAAAAAAAAGTTGATGAAATATCTTTGACATAAAAAAAAAAAGTTGATGAAATATCTTTGACATCTTAAAAAAATAAAATAAAATAAAATAAAAAAAACAAGAATAAACATGTGGGTGTGGCCTATAAACCCAACCATGTTAGCCTTCTTCAAAATGCGTTAAATACATTACTTAACCCCTTTTTCTTTTTCTTTTTAGTCTAAAAACATTGTTTAATATGATAATTCACCTAATCATTAAATTCAATATGGTTCTTAAATAATATAATAGGTTTTTATTAGAATATCAACTATTTTTTTTTTTTGCAATTATTATACATGTTAGATGAAAAAAATTAATAGTAATAATAAATTTCTCATAAAATATTACAATGACATTACAAGAATTTTAAAGGTGGTGTGGGTGTACTCCCACTTCTAGTTTTGCTTTCTATGTATTACTTGAATTCCAAAAAGCATCTTAATTCAGTGCCATTATTTTATCCATTATTTTACTTAATCATTTAAAATCTAAAGTTAGTTATTTTTTTGGTAATATCCATATATTTAGTTCAAGGTATATTTTCTCATCCTACATTTTACTGGTATGTAAATTCAGACACAAGATATATAAAATCATCTTGATTACAAGTTACTAATTCCATTAATAAATATTACACTTGTATTAAAACACTAGCATCCACACCATTTCACAAATTTTTATATTTTTATTTTCCCAAATTTAACTCATATAACCAATATTTTACATTAAAACATTAGGATCAACAATTTATTCCACATGTCAAAATCAAAATTAACTCATTTTTATCCTTGCACTTTTAACAACCATGACACAAATACTAAGGCATTTTACGTCATGAATCGCCATCATGGTTTATACTATTCACATTTACACAATCATAATTAATACACACACTTCCCTTTTTCACTAAACAATGTTATTCATTCACGCACTCCTCCTAATTAGTCTCTAAACAAGTCATATACATCACAACCACTCACTAATTAATACAATTTTATATTTCTCTTTCAAGTTCACATAAATCCTAAAATTTAATGATTTAAAGCTTTTTAATTCCAAATATTAATAGGCCAAATTGAATCATTTGCATGTGACTCCATATCAATAAAATCAACTCAAATCAACATTAAAATAACATATTTAAATTTAAATTTTTAGCTTTTCATCATTCGATACACATAGTCATTTTAGATATAAATTTAATGAATCGTATAAAAACATCCAAAATCAATCTCAAACATCCTAACATCATTAAAAAATTAAATATCATGTAATATTATCAAATTTCAAGAACTCGTAATATCCTATGTATGGTCAGCTTTTTATCTTAACTTTTTTCATAACAAAACAACTAAATAATTAAATCAATTTTTTTTCTTATCAATATACACTAACCCTAGAATCTTTAAAAGTAAGGATTTTCTTCCCTCCACCAAAAACATGAAAGAAATGAAATTAATTGAAGGTAAGTTTTGCCCATGAATCTATTTTTTTTTCAAATTTTAAGCTTTCTCTTTTCTTATCACAAGCTTCTAACTTCTCTCTATCTCTCTAAAGCTTCTATTCTATCTTGTTCTCTTTGTAGGACTTCTTAGAATCACTCCCCCAAATTAAAATTTTGAAAGAAACTTGAGAAAAATAAAGAAAATATAGAAGAGTTTCAAGTTTTCTTCTTTTCCATTGATAGTGATCTTTCATCTATAAATGAGGGATTTTATATTTAATTACAATAATGCCACTTATAATTTTTCTATGTGTTTATTTATATCAATTACCGCACCATTGGTTCTTTATAATTTTTCTATGTGTTTATTTCTATCAATTACCCCACCATTGGTTCTTTTTGTGTATTGATTTGTTATGTGTTTTTTCTATCAACTACCCCACAATCGCTACTTTTTATGTATTGATTTGTTATTTTATTTTTTTCAAGATTTCTAAGCTAATTTTCTAGGGACTTCACCTGTAATCATAATATTTTTTGCTCTTATTTTTTTTTGTTAACAATTACACTATTTAATGTTGATTTTTAAATTTTAGGTGGATAAAGGGTTTACAAATTCACAATTAGTTTAAGTTTTTTTAACAAGTTTTTTCAAGTGTAGCCTTCTATATCAATTTTTATGATTAATTTTTTAAAATGTTTTCAAGAAATAAAAAAATTAAAAAAAAAGAGATCAAAATGTAATACAAAGAGAAATCTCATGGTCAATCTCAAATTCTATAGTAAAAGTTTTATTTATTACTTTCGTTCTTTTTTCACACAATTCCTTTAATTTTTGCAATTTTAGTTTAGGTTTAACAATTAATTTTCTTAGCATTTCAGTCTCTAAGTTTGAGATATAAGAGAAAGTTGCCTAAAAATAATAAATGAGAGATAAAGTTAGTGAATGGTCACTTTTCAGCGATGAAACTCATTGTTTTTGGTGTCAACAGGTTTCATTCAATAAGAAGAGTTTGATGGAGGTGGATTTTCCTATAAAATATTTGAAAACATATATCAAATTTCATTTAGATTTTTTAATTTGGTTGGTTTTTGTTTTGTTTTCTTGGTGGTGTTTTTGGGATTTGTAGGTGGTTAATGAAGATTGTTATAGTATTTTCAAGGTGTTTTAGGATAAAAATTGATTAAAAATAGATTTTAAGGCCAACCTCCCCTCCAATTCTTGAACATCACAGTGATGGCTAGAATTTCATTTCAACAATAGTCTAAGTAGGTGACAAGTATCTTACCACTTCAAACAATCTATTGCTTGTGTAATTGAAAAAAAAAAGAGTGAATGATGTCTCATCCACTCCTTTGAAAAAAAAAGAGAAAATAACAAAGAGCATGCTTAGGCTTTTTTTTAAAAAAATTAAGGTTGGTCACGTTGGCTTGACATATTAGCACTTGACCCTTTTTTTTAATAACTTTTTTTTAATTGTTTATATTTATTTAGCTTTTTTTTAAAAAAAATAATGATTGGCATTTTTTTATGTATTTTTTAGTTGAATGCTATTTCAAAGAGATTATTTTGATTTTTCCTATAGAAAAGTAAAATAAAAAGGATAGTCAGTGTAAAACATTTACATGTGTATTTATTTTTTATTTCTATTACGAAGATTATCTTCCTGTTTTAATATTTAATTAGTGTCAATAACTTTTTTTTAGTTCATATATTTATTAATTTATTTTATAAAGTACAAATAGCATCTTTTTATTTCTCAATTAAAAAAAAGTAAGAATTAGGCTCTACAATTTATTTTGATTTATTTTCTATAAAATTAACACAATCTCAAATAAGTATCGTAGCATTGGGTTGATGCTTGATTTTTTGAGTGCTAATATTTTTGTCATGTAATTAAATAAAAAATAATTTTGAAAAAAAAAGTTATTAAATCCAATAGAGTCCTTGAGTTAGGCCACAAGTTTGACTGGTTAATATGAGTCAATTTAATATGTTATTATTTTAATATTACCACAAGTTTGACTGGTTAATATGAGTGAATTCAATATGTTATTATTTTAATATTTTTAAAATAATATCATTTTGAATTTTTTTTAAAACCAAACCTTGTTTTTACTATTCATCTGAATTATATTTAAACAAAAAGTTGGTAATGTTAGAGAAATTTTGAAACAATTTAATTTGAAATTAGGTAAAAATTTAAAACAGAAAATTTTAAAATTAATAATTAAGTTAGGTTTAATAATATTGTAAAAAGTTTTCCATTTCACAAACCAATTATTTATTTAATGACTACTATTAATCTTATTAACCGCGTTATAATTAATTAAAGGAGAGAGCAATCGAGTTCTAAATATAATCATATATACAAACACCACATTTTTCTTCTTCTCTTAACATGCATGATGATGTCTTAACAAACTCTAATTTCATTAGCCAAAAAGAAATTAATATAATAATAGCTCCAATTTCGCACTTAAAAACACAAGGATGAAGAGGATTGTCCTCTATTGTCAAATTAGGCAACATTAGGGGAAAAATGAAAACAATAGGATTAACATATATGAATGTCCGATCCCCTGAAACTTTTCCGTACATCAGAAAATTATTAGGCTTGATAAAGTTTATTATAGACTTAAAAATAGATGAAATAAAATAAAATAAAAATAAAGAGGAGGACAAGAAATCATATTGAAGGGACCTAAGGATCTCATCAATAAGGATATTTTTTCCAACAAAATCTAGTGACTCCTTTGGTGGGACCCTTCTAAGATTTGCTTGCACATCTTCTTCTCTATATTTACTTGCCAGTTCTGCCTTCCAGTCCCCCTCCTCCCCTCTCTTCTTCAATTCTTCGTAAAATATTTGTTCTCGTTGCAGTTCTTTCCCCCCTTCCAACTTCTGCCACTTATTTTCTATTTTGAAGTAATCTTAATCTCCCAACTTGCTATTTCATTTTGATTTTCTTTAGCTTTTAGTCACAATATTGTATATTTGTGATAACAGAAAAGAGAATTAATATTAAGTTGTCACAAGTACTGACACCCTTTGTGTACCCGGCCTTGAACAATGAAGGAGAGTGGTCGAAAACTTGGTGCACTTTCGCCATGCGCAGCATGCAAGCTTCTTAGGAGGAGATGTGCTCAAGACTGTGTGTTTGCTCCTTACTTTCCAGCTGACGAGCCTCAGAAGTTTGCCAGTGTGCACAAGGTCTTTGGTGCAAGCAATGTCAACAAAATGTTACAGGTTTAAATCCATGCACCCGTTCTCTTTCTCCACCTTCTTTTTTTAATGTGTAAGCAAAATATTATGTAATGTTTATACTATTCGAACTCTTTCTAGAAAATCTTCTCTTTTTTCCCTTCTAATTCTTTTGGAAGAGGCTGAAGGAGCATAATTGTGGAGAACAATATTGTTATTGGGTGCATAGGAGGGCCAGTCACGACCGAGAAGGGGATGATGATACCAGAATTTAGTGAAAATAGGGAGAAAATAAAATATAAAAACTATATTAAACTAATGAGACTTCAAATGTTACAAAATTTCAGGATTTTGCCCCCCCTAAAGTTTGAAAATGTTCAAAAATCTCAAAATTTATAAAATAAGCCCTAACAATATATGAAGTCCCGTCCCCGTTTTACAAAATCTGCCTCGTGGTTAGAGATTTACCATTCTATAGTTTACAAACACACACACATACATAAAAGTTAATTATCTGTAATTATTTGGGATATAAAGCATTCAAAAAGTAGAAAATGTCTTCTCCCCTACATAATTTTCTCCTTTAGTTCGGTTATAGTGGTTAGTTTCAGTTGGATAAAGACCCCACTACAAGTAGGATTCCAATTCCATATATATTCTATTTCAAAGTAGGGAACTGTTTACCATTTGATTCCTTAATTAGTACATAAAAGAGAATAAAGGATCACAATTTAATTACCTTTTACCTTCTTCTTTTTTTTTCTTTTTTTTTTATTGCATATGTGAAATCTAGAGGATAAAGTAAAGGGCCTCATCTCCTCTTTATGACCACTAGCTAGTAATTAGCTTTTTGGATAAGTAAGGCTAAGCTTTTGTTTTTGGAATTCTCATTTTAACCAAAAAGAAAAAGAGCTGTCGATCTATGGATGCATTGTGTGTTAAGGACATGAAAGGCACATTGGAGCTGTCGATCTATTGTGTGTTAAGGACATGAAAGGCACATTGATAGAAAGATAACACATAAGTCCAAAAGAGAGGTGGCTGGCTCTTTCTAAGCAAATAAAATCCTTCTAGAATAAACAAAGTTTGAAACTTTATTATATGAAGAGTAGTTAAATATATTATGACATAAACGCAATGTATATTATTTTACAGTAAAATATAACTTAGTCCTTCTAGTTTTAAGAAACTAACAAACTAGTTTCTCTAGTTCAAAAAGTCGTATTAAATCTCTACATTTTCTTGTAATTTTGTAATGTAGTCTTTCCTTATTAGTTATCTGCATTTTCTTGCAATTTTGGATATTAACTGAAAAGGGAGGTAATTTGATTGGTCAAAGCTAATCAACAATCTAGAGATTTTACCTTGTACTTTCCAAACCTAAAGGAACCAACTAACTTGTAATTTCTTAAACACACAAGAACTAAATGACTATAATTTAATCTTTGTTATGTCTTGTTTTATTACTTCATTTAAGAAGGGCGGGGAATAAATTTATTACTTCGAACAAAACACAACAATATTATTTCAATAACTGAACGTAGAGCATGTGTGATTTGGAAAAAAACAATCAAATATATCCAACGCCCCAGTCCAGCACGAAAAATCCTCACGTTACATGCGTCAAAGGAAAATAAATACTCTTGATTAGGTTCATTAAGAGGATCTTGAAATTTGCATAATTTTCCTTTTCTATTTTTCAAATGGGGAATATAAATTTAGGTTGCTTAGTATGATAATGTTGGGGCGACTTTTCATGGTTTAATTTTTCAAATGGGTAATATAAATTTAGGTTGCTTAGTATGATAATGTTGGGGCGACTTTTCATGGTTTAATCTTTAGACATTCCATTATACTTGTAAAAATATTTTGCTTCATTAGTAGAAACATTTTTTTGTTTAGGAATCAATCGATCGAGACCCAAATTTTGTGGAAATGTTGTGTACCCTCAACTTTGGGAGTGTATGCTCCACGCGATAGGGAAAGGGCCTTCAGTCCTGTGATGGCCACAAGAATTTGAGTATAAACATAAGCTTGGTAATTTGTGGAAACATCTGCAGGAATTACCTGAGCACCAACGAAGTGATGCAGTGAGTTCCATGGTGTATGAAGCAAATGCAAGGGTTCGTGATCCAGTTTATGGTTGTGTTGGAGCCATATCATCTTTGCAGAAACAAATTGATTCACTACAAACCCAGTTGGCACTTGCACAAGCTGAGGTAGTGCACCTGAGAGTGCGGCAATTCACTTCTTCTTCCAATCCAGGAGCCATGGACATGGCAGTTGATCAGGCCACCATGGGAGAGTCTCTGTGGTCATGCTAGTTTTTACCTGGCATGCCTGCCTGCCTTCCCTTTATTGCTATATACTTATTGATTATCATGGGCTAGCTTGCATTATTGTCAGAACTCTATCGTTTATAGTCCTTTTTCTCTTGCATCTTTATGCACATATCTACCCGATCATGGGATGTTGCTGCTAATGATCATTAACCATATTGTAAATAGTTGGAAACATATAATCATAAGTTATCACTAGTCTAGACAGCACTCATTTTGTCTTTTTACCTCATGTCTGCTATCAGATTAATTATTGATCCTTTTTTATTCATGATTTGGTGGTGTTTGACAGTTTTATAAGTGGGGCAATGTTATAAATCCTTTGTGATTGAAGTCTGAGACTTTAAAGAAACCTTGTTGGTATAAGATTGAATTAATTATTGTTCGATAAAAAATCGATTGGTGATAATAATTGTTTAGATTATATTCATCTCATTTTAAATTTATTATATAAACTTGCAATTATATCAAATTAAAATATTAACATGCTAAACATGTATACAAACTTACAAATAAATATAAATAAGATTCTAATGTGTATACTAAGCATACAAAATATTAAACTGAAACTAAAATAATGTAAAATAATTACTTATTGAAGCTCTTAAAGTCTGAATAAGTTAAATATAAGTCATCATGAAGGATCAATTCTTTGTAATTAAGATTTTGTTACTCTTTATTTGATGGCAAAGGGATGTATATAGTTAGCATTCCAAAATTATAGCAACATTACCTTGTTCTGATGTAATTTTAAACAATGTTTTTATACTCAAAGAAATAATAATCAATATTTCTATATAAGAACTGAATTTAAATTCTAAAACATGGAGGAAAACAAAACTTGGAAAACAAAATACCAAGTTGAAACTGAGGTGAAAGAAAATAATAAAATTCTGCAAATTTGTTTAAAAAACACTCAATCAACTGTTTTTTATAGAGGATTTTAAAATTAAAATTGATATAGAAATAATTATGATAATTACCATAATAAATTCCCTATATTATTAACCATTGAGCCCCCCTACCATTTTGATTATTTGAGTCATCGGATAAGAATTTTGATTAATAAACCCAAAAAAGAAGAAGGTAAGCACATCCTTATATTGAAGCCTATTTATAACTTTGGGCCTTTGGCAGTATAGAACTGGATCATTGAAATGAGCCATATTTCTGCGAATTAAATAGTTTAGGGAGTTTTTGCCCCAGAATAGGAGGCTCCATTTCCATGCTGCCCTCCAATCATGCCATTAAATTGGTGTTTTGCTGGCGGTGCAGCCACATTTTATTATTATTATTATTTATATTTTTAAATTGTTTTAATATAAAAATATTAAAAATATTTAGAAAAAAAAAAAAAGTATTTAATTCATTTCTAACTAAAAAATACTCAAAAAAAAATTATTTAATTCATTTCTAACTAAAAAATACTTTAAAAAATAATCAATATCACACTATTATCACACTTTTCTAGTTTTTGCAGCCATATGTTCGTTTTCTTTTCTGTTTTAACGCACACGATAAAATAGGCTTTCATCGACGAGGTAAAGCCATAAACAGTCGGTGGTTCCATCACTGGTGAGTACAAAATCCAAGACATGTATAATAAGGCGTCTCCGCCGAAACAGAACCTTGAACACAAATAAAGCCTCCAGCCCATGAATTATAAAAGCAAACAAAAACATTTCCGACAAGAGCATCCTTCCAACATATTTTAAGGTATGCTCGGATCAACTCAACTTATATATCAATTGAAATTAACTTTTCTTCTTCTTCTTTTAGATCTCAAGAGCAGTGCGGATTGAGCTATATTAATAGATGGGTGTAAGAGGGTTTTCTTAGGAAGAGATGCAATATGTGACGGCTTACAAAAATAGAAATTTACAAGTCATTTAAGAATGGAATTTAACAAGGCCTCTCTCTCTCTCTCTCTCTCTGATTTTTTTCCCCATTATTAATTTGATCGTGATGTTCCATCATCTTGTCAATCTTCTTTAAGACGTTTTCTTAATGATCTTATAAACTTATGACTTTTTATCAATCAGGATCGATATCCATATCATCATAAAATAGAGAAGGGGAAACCCAAATGAATACATCTAGACCTAAAGCCATGAAGACGGTGGGGATTAATAATGAATAGACATTCATGTCAATGGTAGAAAAAAGCTTTCATGACCTCCTTTTAGCTAGTATGAACATTTTTGCCCACTCATCAATGATATTGTTATAGTTGCTTCTTTTACCTTTGTGTAGTGCTCTCTGATCATTGACTTCCTTATTCATCAATGCTATTATTGCGACATCGATATGGGATCAGATATTAGAATCTAAATGACTACAAAAGCATATATATATATATATACAGCACCATCTAGAGCCTTATCATGAGCCTTGTTTTTACCCCATTTGCCAGTAATGCCATATTTTCTTAAGTTGCTATCTCAACTAGAATAAAGTGTTCAGAAAATTACCAGTATCTCTAACATTATTCATATATTTATAGGGACCACAATTTATAACTAATGTGAAAGTAAACATGAATAATTTTTTTCTTAAAAATCTATTAATAACAATCTATGAAACATATATAGACCCTAAACCATAAAATATAGTTTACAGGGAGATAACCTAGTAGTTGAAATTATTAGAGAATAATATAAATTATATTCATTGAAACATATATAGACCCCAAGCCATAAAATATAGTTTATAGAGAGATAACCTAGTAGTTGAAATTATCAGAGAATAATATAAATTATATTCAGAGATTTTACTTAACAATTTAAGTTATTAAATTGAGATAGTTCTTTGATATGGTATCAGAGTCTTGATGACTAAACAATCACGAATTCAAATCTTATCATTCTTATTTATTTGATAAAAATTAAGTATAAAGATAAAGTAAACATGTGCAAGTTTTAAGCCTAAAATGCTTTCACTTATAAGGATGTGTTAGAAAATAATATAAATTATATTTTATGACCTCATATAACCAGCAGCTTGGATTTATATTTTTAGTGCCTATTTGACACTATAGTTTAATTTATATTTTATTAATTTTTTAATATTTTTAAATTATTTTGATTTGATATATTAATATAAAAAATAATTTTTTTAAAAATAAAAATAAATATCATTTTAATATATTTTAAAAAATAACTATTATTATTTAAAAAAAAGCAGGTCCTTGCACGATATGTGATCAGCATTTGAAATAGAACTTCCGGATCCGGCTAGTGGTCCACGAGGATAAAGAAAAGGATAACCACATGGTTTCACAAGTTATTATCTCGCTCCGTAATAATGAGCCATCTTTATAGGTGGATTTCATGTGCACTGAATAGCTTAAGCTTAATATAATCTTGTAATTGTTGCCATGTATTCTCTTCAATATATTTCATTTCATGTGTTTTGTGTGTGTGTATTGATTAGACAATTAATTTTCGCTAACTAATCATAATATAATAAATTAATACAATAGTAATAATACACGAAATGATTGAGCCTAGAATTATGTTTAATCATATTGTTTTAATACTTCCCTGCAAATGAAATGGGGAAAGGCACCGTGATAATTCAACTTTATTCGTAGAAACATAAACCAAAATAATGGGAGAGGTTTAGGGAGCACATAGGCAATATGATCATATCAAAAGCAATAAATTGAAGATGGAATTCCTTTCAAGTAACCTCTTCATGAACAAAGTGAGGATCAATCTTCACATGAGCATGGAAAAATTGATTGATTGATAAAAATAAATGACTTCTAAATTATCACACTACAGAAAAGAGAAAAGGAGGAGATGTTTCAAAAATACCAAGTTCTTGAAATAGAGATCTGACCCGATTTTGTTTGCAACAGTACCTCAAGAACGCTGTGCCTGAAATTCTGAATATGAAAGCTTGGCAGAGAAGGTCAACCAGTACATAGTTCCTCTGTGATCCTATGGGACCGGAGCACAAAACTATGGCAATTATGGCTTCTTATTTCTTTGCGTGTGGGGCATAAATGTGGGAAGATAAGCCTATTATCACCGACAAATCTAGCCGAAATGATCCTATGATTGATCTGGGTTCGGACTAGATAGCTGAAAGTTATCATTGTCATAGATTAAATTTTTATATATGGCCTGAACCGACTTTAGTGTATATCATTGCTCTCCCTTCCCTTGGAAGGACGCTGAGCTCGAAATTCTCACACATAGGATTCATCATTTTTCTTGATATTCATGTAGCCAATGCCATTTTGCATTGACAAGGACTTGACTCCTGTTGCTATGTAGGTAGGCATGTCTAAATTTTGAGTGGGATGCATGATATCAATGCCTATATAGGAAAACTTTCCACTTTTTCACTTGAGTTCAAGATCCTACCGCAACACCACGACATCCCTGTATAAACAACAAAACATGGCTTCATTCAAGTTTCCATATATGGATTGAGATTTTACCATATAATTTAACTTTTTTATTAAAAAAATAAAAAAAAATTATAAAGCTAAATTATTTATCAACTTAATATTAAAAAAAATTAACCAAGATAATTTTGAAAAGAAAAAACCCATGAGAAAAAACGTTATAACAATTAACAATGTTTTGTAAGGAAAATTACATTAATATTAAAAAAAATTAACGAAGATAATTTTGGAAAGAAAAAACCCATAAGAAAAAACGTTATAACAATTAACAATATTTTGTAAGGAAAATTACATTGTTTTTTTCAAATAAAATTAACAAAAATAATTTTAGAAATAATCATAAAAAAATTATTTAAAGAAATATTGTAGTAATTTACAGTATTTTGCAAGGAAAATAACAATACTTTCCCCATATGATTTAGTTTTATTGTAATTATAATTTTTAACCAACTCAATATTAAAAAAAATCAATAAAAGATAATTTCAAAAAAAATCATGTGGAAAAAATATTGTAGCAATTCACAATGTTTTAAAGAAAAAAAATCACAAAGCGAAATTCTCAATAAACTTAATATAAAAAAAAAAAAAACATAAACATAAAAAAAAATACAAAGAGAGAAAGGAAGAGCATGATCTTGATCTGGAAAC